TTTTAGTTCCAGAAGAGGCTCCCACTTTCCTTAAAGGCCGTCCTCTCAATTCAACTGCGATTTTAATATCTTGGAATAACGTACCTCCTTCTCGTCATAAAGAAAAACTGTTGGGTTACCGGGTTCGATATCGGAGCCTCGATTCCGAGCTCTATACAGAAGTAAATGCTACGAGCAACTTAACTCAGAATGTTATTACAAGGCTCCGTCCAAACACAGCATACGAGATCATGGTCAATGGATTCAATGGAATTGGCCACGGGCGACCTAGCACGGTTCTTGTGTTAAAAACCCTGTCTTTTGGTCAGTAAGTTATATACCGCTTTCAAAGTTAACTGACCATGGACAATTGAGAGCCTCTTTAGATATCCAGATGGTTTTTTTTTTTTTTTCACAACTTCATTGGGTTTGACTTCTAAAAAATAAAAAAAAATAAAAATAAAAACCCACACAACAGGAGCACTTAGTACAATATTACAAAGCCCCAAAAGGGGGGTGCGAACGGGACGCGAGGTCCCCTATATTAAAAAGTAAATATATAAATTAATAAATGAATAAAAAAGACAGTTTTGTAAAAGAAGAGGAAATACAATAGTTAGCGATGGCAGGGGCAGGTTCTGATTAAGGTCCAGGTACAAGTGTAACCTGCATCAAAATAGGTCCGAAGTAAGTACATAAGAAATGTCAGTAATTCGTGATGAATAGAGATCACAAGATGTCAGGAATGAGGGTGAATGCCGGAGAACATAACGGCGAGAAACTCATGTTTGGTTTCTCTTTCCGCATAATTGAAACACTGTACTGAGCTTCTAATTTTTGAAAACCGTTACTCGTTACGTTTTTAGAATCTAGGACCAGTAACTTTTAATTTAAATTTTAGTTCGTCATAGTTTGCGGTATGTTTTCATCCCCAGCCATTTGTGTTTCTTTTCTCTTGCTATCACCTCCTTGTCTATTTTGGTCCATTGTCATTCTTCAGGTGAAGATATATTTGAGGCGGACTTCCAGCTGCTGATAGAATCTGACTTTACCAGCGATCTACTGAACAATAGAAGTAAAAGGTTTTCGGAAATGGCTGAAGTCATTAGAATCTCAGTAAGTAACATAATAGTTTAGATTTACGCGCAATCAGTGTAAGGCTAAGAAGTTGTTTTTAAATGTCCACCTGCCTTGAGTAGGAATAAAGCTTTTTTCTTCTTTTAGATAAGACACCACTTCAATAAATCTACTACGTTGAAGATATATGACGTCATAACTATGCAGTTCAGGTAAAATAAGATCAAATCACAACCCTGGCCTGGGCTGTACGAAAAGCAAGGAAGTGCTCATGTAAACCTTGTCAAAATTGGCCATCTTTTGTTTTTTTTTTAAACACGCTTACTTTCAAATGAAGCCAAGTAAATAAGATTTCAAATGAAAAGTAAATTTGTTCGCACCCAAAGTCTTAAAACGGAAGCTTTTAGCCCCTTGCAGTTTGCCAGCTCTCATGATCAACATTGATTGCTCATCGTTCATGAATTATTCTTAAGTTTTACGTTGTTTTTCTTTTTAGAAATGGCAGCGTAAGGGCAGACATTAAAGTCCTTGCAACGATAAATACAAACAGAACGGACAAAGATGATGCACTGAATCATTTGATAGAAGGGGTGCGTTCGTCATTTGGAGATCGGCTTAAAGTTACTTCCATACTTGTCCAGGGTATGTAAAGCTTTGGAAATACTTTTAAGAAATGTTCTATTCTCAGATCATGCATGCTCCTAGAAAATGAATGACTTGACATATTGTGGGTAATGTACTTCTAAAGCTGCTGATTTTTATTCATGTATTGTTGATACTTCCTCCTTTACTAGCAACACCGAGGCCTCCTAAAAGTTTCTCCGTTAATGATGCACAGACAACATACTTTATTTTGAGATGGGAGGAGCCAGAGTATGGCAGCTTATACCAGATAAACAACTACACTGTAGAGCAAAAGACATCAAGACTGAAGAACTTTACCCAAGTTTGGACAATTCCTTATCCTCAAAACAGAATGATTATAGAGAACCTAGATCCCTCCACAGAATACATCATTAGATTATCAAGTAACAATATGTATGGAAGGTCAGAGGGTGTACTGTTAACACAAAAGACTCTGCCAGGTAATGATAATACCCAGAGTGGGTTTCTCCCAAAGTTAATCTTTACAGGAAGTTTAGGAGGTGGCGTGGCCGAGTGGTTAGGGTGCTGGACTTGTAATCCGGTGTCCCGCGTTCAAGTCCTCCAGCCTGCCACTCACTGGATTTGTTCTCGGCTACCCATAGTTCAACTTCTTGGCTGCGCTCTGTAAATAGCCCACTGGTCTGCTTCCCGCCTGTGTAATTTTTAAGCACTTAGTTAGTCCACATATTGGCTGAAAAGCCCCCAAGGAGGAGCTTCAATTTACGTATTTATTTATTTACGTATTTAACTTCCAAAGCGAAATTATTAGAAACTTTACGAAGTTAATTAAAAGGAAAAGGAATCGTCATTAATTATAACTGATATCAACCAATGTTACGACAAAGCGCGATTATAGTGTTTGATACTTGTACTCGATAGTATTAAGTAATCTGGCTCTGATCATCTTTGTTCTTAGTGTAAGG